TAAACTTCGTTTCACTTCTCAAATATCACTGTGTTCGTCTGCTATATGATATATTTAAATGAAACTGCTGATCCAAACAACCAATCATTTATGAAGGAAAATCATGAAAAGGGTGCTCAAACTTGCATATCACCATATATGGCAAATCAAACTTGTCCATATTCAGTAAACCTTCAATTATTTTGTAACTGTAAAAACCCCTCTGTGTGGTCCACAACAGGAAAAAACATCAGTGCACTTCAACGTTGAAAGCTATGCACAAATGATCTTAAATCCTCTTTCACATACAGCAGATATATTTTTCCCAGTAACGCACATCTGTTGGCTCATACGATGGCTGACCTGTGCATTTTATTTTAAAATGACGTACTGGTAAGTTTCTTTCATTTAGTTTATCTCAGGTTAATTACCGCTTCAGGACTGATGACAGACAACATTTCTGTAAACGCTCTTAAGCCCAGGCTTGGACTGCCCGGCTCAGAAAACCCAAACTTAATCATACCACCCAGCGCCGGGCCGACGGGACGCTCCAAGAACAAGAATAGTGAAGGAAAGCCTCTTACCTGTTCTGATGAAGATGAAGGCTGTGTAGGCTCCAAACACTGCCGTGTAGGAAAACTGAAACACTGGTGCAAAACAGAAGAACAGAAGTGCATCTTCCTGCTATCCTGTGATGAAGTCACAATAAACGCAGTGAAAAAGATGTTCTCACCTGCAGAGAGGAAAATACCCAACAGAGTGCCCTGTCTGAACCTCAGCAACTCAATCACATGGTGGAAGTGAGCTGGAAGAGAGGACAGAGCAGGCACTCAGACATGCAGCAACTTCAACACAGACATTATTGGAACACACTCTGCATTATTTATTATACACACTGCTACTTCCAATCAACACAAAAGTTAGGGGGAAAAAACTTTCCAAAAGCACTCAAAGTCGTGGCTTCTTTGTTTGACTTGTGCTCTTACAGCAGCGATATTGTCTGAGTGGCGACAGCATCGTTCAGAAGAAAACTGCAGGGCTTCCTGCGCTGTAATGGTGGGTATAAAGGCTGTCCTGTAAACAGGGTAGCGACAGAGCTCAGATTTTGCCTGTAAGTCAGGAGAAGATGAACCAGGCAGTGATCAGACTACAGCAGATGGAGGACAGAGGTGCTTTTGTCCCTGGTAGGACAGTTCATGTGCTGGCTGAATTCTCGTGTCTGACTCTGTTAAAGTCATGAAGAACAATGAGCAGGGAGTCCGGGTGTTGTCCTCAGTGTTCGGTAGATGATGCTTTGCTAACACAGGCCTAACAAGGTGAACTCCTGTGGAGTATGAAATGATTTAAACTCCGTGATAATGGTCTCTAGGTGAGGGACTGCATCTTTCTTTCCCAACACTGCGCCATCTAAACACCAACCTTTGTTTATATACAAACAGATTTCGCCTCCTCTTTCAGAAAGCTCCGTATAACGGTCCACAAGCAGCCGGGGATGTAGTCACCTATCTAGCTTTTAGTGAAGCACAAAGTTGCAAATCTGGAAAAGTTGATTTTAAGCCTTTGAGTAGCTGCAGTTCATCC